AATCCAGTAACAGTGACCTACGTAAATACTACACAATATCAGTTAGTAGTAAAACAACTAAAACCAGATGTAAAGAAAAAAAGACCTAATTAAAATGAAAGTATCAGTCAATAGCTCAGGTCCTAATTTCTGCTTGAGAAAAAAAATCTATTTGCTAAAAAAATGGTTCCCTAAGTTAAGACTAACCTTGGAGTTAACGACTAACCTTGGAGCACACCTTATCAATGTTCTGATTTCACTGAAGGTTTTTATTTCCACTTTAATTTGTGTGGTAAATTGCGAACATTCAGGGAGGTCATTAATATAAGTAGAAACTAAAATTTAAGATCTAAAATGGGCGCCTGACGCACATCACACTGTTATTGACTGGGGCATTGAGATGCTGTTTTCCACGTTATAATGTTTGCTATCTACTGGATTAAATACTCGAATCTGTTATAAGAGAGGCTCTCTTGCCTGTTATTTAAAAATAAGAATCACTCCTGTGAATAGCGTTTGCTGAAAGAGAGGGTTATCTTTTTGCCATATTCTGAATTAACGCACCTGGTAGAACTTTTGTAGCAACGATGCGTCCCTCATGCGAATCTAAACTGTGATCCTTGGGTTTGGAGAATGTATTCGTTTCAGGTATCCCCCTCATTACGCCCCTATAGACTCTCCCAAAAGCGCCTCGTCCCAGTTCCTCCATGAAAGTAACCCGCTCGTGTGGGACTTCCAGCAACATAAACTCAGCAATGTCAGACTCAATGGACCTAAAGAAAATAGTGCAAATTAAATGTTAATGAAACTCGGCGTTATTAATCATGTACTTGTGGTAATACTTAAATCAGAGATGGCTTTCTAGTTCATGAAAGGTGATAAAAGTTACATTGCCTTGGTGTGTAAGGAAGGTCACTCACCACCGCGAATTGACTGAGTGAGACAGACACTAAAGACACACAGACACTTACACAGGAAAAATATCGTCTATTTCCGCATGCATATCATTATCATAATACAAAGCATTCATATAGACAATAACATTTTATGAAATACCGTTCATTCCTCTTTGCTCTCTTACGGTAAACAATTGTCCCCACCACCAAAGCAGAAAGAGCCACGGAAACTCCCAACACTATCCAGAGTATAGGAGCACCTGTAGGAGAGTAAAATCGTAAGAGCCTCTCTGGTCACTGAGGGATACAAGATGATTCAGCTGTTGATATATAAACATGGTCGGAATAAGTTTCCTAGTAAACTTATAAACGGAATAAGCTTCCTAGGTACTACTTCTCGTTTACGACTCGTTATAGTTTACAGGCCTCCATATTCTGTAATTTTTAATGGTGTACTAGTGAGCAGCACACTTACCCTTCCAGTGAACATTTTCACTTGGAAGAAGGAAAAACCATGCTCGCCCCGGACAACGAAAATTTTTGTGGCCCGGGCGAGAATCAAACTCGCGACCTTTCGAATACTAGATCGGACGTTCTAACCACTGAACCACCAGGGCTCTTGCGTTAGTGAAGTCGGAATTCTCCAATACCAGCAGAGTGTGCTACACTTCTCTACTGGGAGCTGAGTGCATTGCACTTCTATGCCCAGTTTCTCATGTGGCTTCTGCTATTTTCAGTTAAGTAATTTTTAATGATGCACTAGTGAGCAGAACACTTACACTTCCAGTGATCATTTTCACCTGGAAGAAGGAGAAACCATGCTCGCCCGGGGCAACGAAAATTTTCGTGTCCCGGGCGAGCATGGTTTCTCCTTCTTCCACGTGAAAATGTTCACTGGAAGTGTAAGTGTGCTGCTCACTAGTACATCATCAAAAATTAAAGGAGACGCTCTCGCAGCCTTTGACTTAAAATGGGGTGTCGCTCAAGGTTCTTGTCTCGGACCCGTTTTGTTTACTATTTATAAACAAGATTTGTTCTCTAAATGCTAGTGCTCGTTTAACTTATTTCGCCCCAAAGTCGTGCCATATCATGCCTCTGCTTCGCGAGCTACATTGGTTACCTGTTTGCTACCGTTTTGAATACAAAATATTACTCCATACATTTAAAGTTTTGCAAAATGTTTAAAAAAGTTTGCAAAAAGTCTTTCAGACGAAAGTTCCAAACGGAAATTCGTGTTCCATTTCTTCAAAGACATCTTTGATACCAGATTCATGCCTTCGTTGTCGTTTCTCGGAAAATGGAACTGATTTGAACAAATTGCAAACGCTATTTCGGGACAAAATTTAGCAGTCCTGCATTTTGCTTACCATTTACCGAAACCGTCAACTGACCGGTTTGCCCACTTAAATGGTAAATGCAACAACCGAAGTCTAAAACAGCGATTGTGTCACAGCAGGTTTGTCCTGCTCGCTTAGTTTTGCCAATTTGGGGAAGGGTGGGGAGGGGAGAGACAAAGTATTCCGCCGGGCTGACTTTGACCATTCATAACTTTGAAACGATAAAAAAAAATCTATCCATCCAGATGTCTTCCTAAAAAAATTATATTTTCCTATATAAATCATTTGCCCCTGAAGATTGACGCTTCCACAACCACCTCTATCTCGAATAATGAATAAATAAATATATAAATATTAAGAATATTTTAACAGGATCAAAAACCCAGCAGTGTATAGAAACACTGTTGTCGTCATCAATGGGGTCCTTTTAAAAAATAATCAACTAAACTTTCAAAAGGTAAAAACAGGATACGATAGAAGGCTTAATGACTATGATTATAAGATAAATACCAAAAGACTATGACTATACTATGGTTAAAACGATCGATAAACGTTTAGTGCTTTTAGTGCTTTCTCAAATTAAATTCTCTGGGAGTTCACTAAAAAGCTTGGCTCCTTGATAATAAAAACTCTTTTTCCCACACTCGAGGCGGACTTTAGACAATTTTACGACTTAGGCTACGCTCATACCCGGTACCGCACGAATTTTCGACCGGTCAAAAATTCCTGCGATTAGGTGTTCCGTTCACATGGAACCACACTAACAGTAAGAACATTTAAATGCCTAGCTAGCCGTTGAAAACTTTGAACGCTAAAATCGGGGTCAAAGTACGGTCGAAAATTTGAACGGCAAGGTGTGTACACCGTGACCAACAAAATCTTTCCACGGCAAAGGCGTGGCTGCATGGATGCGTGTTTACTCAGCTGGAAAAAGACAGGAAAATAGCAAACAGATATTGCGTACATGGGTTTACGAGTCATGTTATTTTCTCGCTTTGCTTGGAAATATTACGGCTCGACAGTTCCGTGTCAACAGCGCAGAAATATTGAACGGTTTCGTGTGAACAAAGTGCCCTGTCAAATTTTTCAACCAGTTGAAAATTCGACCGGTACCATATGAACGTAACCTTAAAAAAGAAGCAAACATTACCAGTTGACCGCTTTTGCACTCAATTGTGATTTTCTTGAGAAACCTTCCTAAAAAGCTTTTTGACTTCTTTCACTGAAAGTGGCTTGGATATAAGAAAATGTTAAATACTATAGAACAATTTTGATATATTCAAATTCATACTAGAGGCACAACAATGAATAATACATTTCTTGTATTTTATTCCCCCAAGGTATTGAGTAGGACTTTGATATACTGAAAATGGTCTCTTTTTGCCAGCTTCACCGTCAATTTGCCAAATGTAGAAATGCAGGCCAGTTAAGATGGCCATGAGCATTCAGCGTCCTGACAGGCTATTTATTAGAGGAGAACAGTCGCTTAACGTTTAAAAGTTACAGATAAAATTCCAGTAAGTGGAGGCTAATCCGTACATTTTTATTGTTATTGAACATCAAAGGGCTTTGTTGTGGTAAATTTCCGTCTTGATCGGTTTTACTGCCCACTTGAGTTATGAAGGAGCTAAAAGGGGGTGTCTCCTTCCCCAGAGGTCTACCTCTAGCAGAGCAGCAGAGGTTCAACTGGATATGGTTTGGTGTCAATACCCAAACCTATCAACTATTACTAAACATACAAAAGGTAATCTCGCACCTGCAGAGCGCGTTTTAAATTTCCAAGAGACTGACCAGTCGCTTTGAACTCCTCCAAACCAGGAAGACACTCCAATCTCATACCCTTTGTCGCATTCCAGAGATAGAAGATGAGAGGTGGTTGAAGGAACCTTATATTCTGTCCAGTCAGCTTCAATGCCTAGTGGCTTTATCTCCCTAAAGCGTAGAGTGCTCTTTGTTATAGTGCATATTTCTTTTCTACTCCACGTAACAGTGACTTTGCAACCATGTATTTCCGACTCCTTGTTGTTTATCACGGGTGTAATTGGTTTACCTTTAAATAATGAAAATAATACTGCGATTACTTAGTGATTTCCACTGATGTACTTGCAGTGATAGATGAATGTAGAAAGGTACACTACTAAACCTACAAAACTGTCTAACAACTACAAAAACTGAAACGTGAATTAACGACCAGCACGCTGACGCCCATTCTCATCCCCAGAGCCACTCGGCTTAATTTGTAACGAACCAGTGGCTCTGGACGCAACGGAAAATACGAATTTTTTCATTGGCTGAAAGGAATTGATTGCGCAGAGCAAATTAAAAATATAATCTACTGCGCATAAAATTTTACTTCCTGCCCTCTAGAACTGCAAACATGAAATCCGTGTCTGATTTACGTCGATCGCGACAATCCTGTTTTTTTAGCAATTGAATGCAATGCAATAGCAGTGAAGAAGAGAATTGAAGGTCACGTTTGCGAAGTTTTTACGAGAACCACGAGCCTTGACAAAGAAGGTTTGCCTTCGTTGTGGGCAAATTTTGCCTCTGTATCGACCGTCGCATTCGGGGAAACTGAAAGGAGGAGTTAATGGTTAGTCCCTGCTCACATAGATTAAAAGTTAAAAATCGAGCAATTGACACTTGTATAGCGTTACTAAATCTAATCAGTCTGTCTAATTCCTCTGGATATTCGTCAGTGTTACAGTAAGAGAGGAAATCAAGCTCAAGGACTACATTACAGAAATGATATGTACGTAATAAGTTTATTACAATGTGCTATTAATTTTTTGTTTTTTTCTGCTGGAAGTACTGTATCTCCTTTGCTATACTAATAGGTCAACATAGTTTTCTGTGTCAAGCGTTTATTCATTAGAGCACTGATGTCAGTGCACAAAGCCAAAACTGAATGGCTTATGAATCCTTTGGGCTGCACGCATAAGACAATTTTTCACATTTTTGTGCAAAGATGATAGGGCAAGACCACGTGACCAACCCGTGACAACAAGCGTGACTAGAATGTAAAGGCATTGCGCAACTCTTTTTTTAAAGGAAGAAAGCTTTTGGTGCTTTTAGATCGCCTTTAAAGATATAAAATATTTTTTAAAGCTTGATTCTTTACTTTTTTAACAACAATTTTATCATTTTTGTGCCAATATTTTGAGAGAAATCGAAAACAGGCATGAGCCCGCAAATTGACCGCTGGCTGTCTCTGATTTCTGCCCATGGTGGATGAATTTTACCGTGTTTAAACGACGGGCTCTGGGGACGAGAATTGCTGACGCCATCTTAAGTAATCGAGATGACTATGCACATGCAAAAAATTGATTTCGTGACTTAAATTTGCCTGTAATTCTGATGTCGGGCCAAAATAAGTGGTAACATGACAATTTTGAGCTGTAAACTAGCCAGAAGCAGTGGCGGATCTAGGGTAAGGGCCCGGGGGGCCCGCCCCCCTCCTCTAGTTTTAGACCAAACTGAGGCCGGAAGGGCCGAAAAAAATTTTTTTGGAGACCGCCCCCCTCCCCCAATCTCAGGATCTGGATGACCAGGCCCTCCCCCCTCTTATCTGAAGGTCTGGATCCACCATTGACAAGTGCAAATTATTACAAAAGTTTTTGGAAAATTGCTAAAAATTATGACGAATTATGCCAAAACATTTTTAAACCAGGACTATAAGAAGAACATTCAATTTTTTAACATCCCACTGACCCCTTTTTAAGGATCGAAGAATACGATTTATCCTCGGATAGATACTACTCTCACCTTTACTCAGGTCAGAGACCTGCCTCGGAGATAAAGCTATTCCAGTCACATAAAGATCCATGACTGCTCCAGAAAACACCCCATTTGCCATTGGCATCTTGACTAAAACTGGATCATTCCCTATGATGTACTCTGGCTGATAACGGCCTAATGATGAGAAGAAATTCTCTTTCCTTTGGTCTATTAATGCCTCCTCCGCACCATTAACGAACACCTTGATCTTATTCAGCTGACAGGTTACTGCTACGTGATTCCAGGAATTGACTTGTAAGTGGAACGTGTTGTGTATCGATAAAACGAGTCGGGAATTATTGACTGTAACGTAAAATAGTTTTCCACCCTGTGACCGAAGTGCCAGTATAGGCCCGTCAACACCAATATACTTTACCCAAAATGCAATTGTAAAGTCACAGGTTGTTATGTTAATGTTGGGCACAGTAGCATAGGAACCATTCTGACTGAAAGTCGCCGCTTTGCTGCCAGGACACCAGCCTTTAGTATAGGTAACGGTACCAAAATACCTGTAAGATGACAAAAACAAATGAATGAATTTAGCTGTGAATAAAAGAATTACCTGTGATAGGAAAGTTCAAGCCACCATTTTACCCTCGAATCCTAAGTTATGAGAAGTCAGAAATGCAAAGGCATAAGTTTGAGGCGATGCTGAGATCTGGATGTCATCATGAAAGAGAGAATGGTCAATCTGAAAATTTATTTAAGAGTTAGAGAGAGCTACGAAGGGAAGTCGTTGTCGTATAAAATCTTTTGAAATCCGAAAGTAGGGGTAAGGCATAAAAGGCATAACCCCACTAACCTCACATCTCGATCACTGCCATCTAGAAACCAGCGGCGATATACAGGTTTTCCTATTAAAACGAACAAGTTCATTCCAACAGTAAAAATATATGGCGATATCAAACAAACCTCTGATAATAAGCTACTCTGATTTCATTATACTTCGGTCTTCCGTTTCCGTTTATAATGTTAAGAACCATAAGCATTTAATTAAGGTAAATCTAGGACTCTTTAACTGAGACCGAAAAAAGGCATGTATACGCTTAAAACAAAGCTTTGTGATGAAATATTTGTTAGTTCGTCTGAACTTTGTTTTTGTTTGTTTTTATTTACTGTTTTCCCAAACGATCCCCACAATGCATAGGAACGACGTGTGTCATGAATTCCTTATTTTCTATCTTGGGCCAATTCTATGAAGTCACGCCGAAGCCTAAGTATCAAGCTTAAAGTTTCTTCAACAGGAAAAATAAAGAATCGGACCTAAAGAATTCATGCTGTTATATTCATCCTACTTGTGTTGGATTTTAAGGGGGGGATTGTATGGGCTGGGAATAATGTTAACAGGAACAGCTTCACCCAAGGCCTGAACAAGCAATTTACTTGGCCGACTTATCAAGAGGTACGCAATGTTTTACACACAAGAAACCAGTTTTTAAGGCCCAGCGGTCGCGAAACGCCACAGTAAATGTAAATTCAACATGTTTAGCATCCTACGAATGATGTTCTCATTGAAGATGTAAGTACTGTATACCGTATATTCAGTACCGAGTGGTGGGGTTAGGGCACCTGTTTAGGATTCGTTGGATCAACCTTATTCTGGGATACGAATACGTAGAATCGCGTGTAATCTTTATTTTATTTTATTTTTTTCATCATTCCATTTAATGCTTCGGGCAGCATAAAACGGAATAATTACAACAACAAGAATAAGGATGGACGTTGTCGGTTACGCAAATAAAAAAAAAAGCAACGAGAGGGGCAAAGAAGCAAAAGGTTTGTACTAGCAGGACAACAGCTTTGCACATGTAGCACACTTTTTAGTCTCGCTTGCGTAAGCAGCGAGACTCATAAGATGTGCGAGCCGTTTTTTTTCTTCTTATTCAGGACACAAAAGGGAGTTCATGTTGCCAAGCGTTCCTAACGGAGACCGTGGAAACTGGGAATAAGAATCGTTGTGTAACCGAAGCCATGCATGTTTTGCGAAGAAAGCTTAGGAAAGATTAATGTGGTGTAGAGCTTTTCCGGAACCTGTCGGTCCACGAATTCTATTGCTTGAAAGCGTTGATTACCTTAGAACAAGTAAACACTTCAATGGTCGAAAAAAAAGTTAATTAACAAAACTTTGATGGTGAGGCTAACTGGTTTGGCTGTTGTAAACATTCATTGTATGGAAATGAGTCTTTTGGTGAGCATGCGGTTTATTTTTGGCTGTTTGGCAATGATGTGATTTCCCCCGAATCGAGGTCCTTGCTTTTCATGTTATTTATAAACGCGTATAGGGTGCCACGGCCAACGTATTTTAGTACACAAGTACTAAACAAATTCAGAAACAAATCGTTTAATGCGATATAAAAATTGAATACCCTGAACAATACTCGACCTTCGATAAAGTAGAAATTGAAAATCTTTTAGCGAGGAAATCCTGTTTCGTGCAGAATTAATCGCCTCCTAGACTGTGAGCAGTCTCTTATTTTTCTTTTGAGCCACAGTAGTTCGAAAGTATAATTTTACTTTTTTGTTGCTCGCCAAGGGTGGCCCTTAGGAAACAAGGACGACCGCTCGCGGTCTAATCGCCTCCTCATTTTGTTATGTTATCTCCAAGCAAGCGAGACTCAACGCTTCTAAGAACAACGCTCCATCACAAAGCTGTGAGATGAAATATTTCTTATTTCGTCTGAACTTTATTTGTGTTTGTTTGCTATTGTTTGTTGTTTTCCCAAGGGTCTCCACAATGGATAGGAATAACGAGCGTCATGAATTCCTTCTTTTCTTTCTTGGGCATTCTATGAAGTCACGAAGTCAAAGTATCAGAATTGAAGGTTTCTTCAATAGGAGAAACCTATTCAATATGAAATGGAATAGGTTTCTTCAGCGGTCACGAAACGCCATGACGGTAAATGTATATATTTTAATTCATAGATTTAGCCAGGGCTAAAGGCGAAGCTCACATTAATAAACTTATCAATTAAATCAAACATTAACATTAATCTGTTAACTTTAAGGTACATTCATGAGACTTTTGAGGAAAAGTGATTTTAGAGATTGGGAAAAATAATTTGGCAGTGCAAGAGTGAAACCAATTTTACATCGAGCAATCTTCTTCGATCAAAGTAGATTAGGCCTAGAAAACAAATTTTTCCCAAACAAAGAAGTTAAACCCAGTCACCCACCTACACCACCTTTATTTTATAAGGTTAATAATATAGCTGTTAGTTAATCCGATATTGTCAGCAAAGCTAGTATCCTTTAATTTTTACGAACTGTCCAAGTAAGGATTAATTTGGATAGTTTCAGATAAGGCTTTCCTTTACAAATAGGCAAACTGTCCAATTTAAGAAAAATAACCCAGCTGGTCTGAGCCAATCAAATGCCAGAAAATACAATAGGCAATGCAAACTAGCCAGTCAGCGCAAAGTCCCTTTGAAAACGCGCCGAAAAAAATTTTGTTGGCTGAGGCGGTTCGTCGGGAAGACTCTTCTCTTCTTGTTGCTGTGAATGCCGTTTTGTTTTGCTGCTGTTTTGTTTTGGCTTCTTGTCTGGGCCGTTTAAAAGGAAAATGTATTACCAGACTGATGAAAATTTGTATAGGAAACAATTAACGCATATATTCTTGAAAATGTACGCTGGGCACTGACACTTTGGACAAGAATAAGAAAACAAAGATACTTGTGTTAAGATGTTGGCATTACACACACGCACACAAAAAACGGGACGAAGTCTGCGGAAATCGTTTGAGGCAATGAATGAAATGTTTAGTTTCAATAGTTTTTGTATTTGATTAAATCAAGTATTTGCGTTGTTGCTTTGTCTTCTTTGTACTCGAAATTGCGGTTTTGACCTGTAGCACCGTATCATTAAGATCATTGGAGGAGCTTTCAAAATTTTAATTGGCAACAAAATGCCAAAGTATGAAAGAGCAATACTGGTTCTACGTTTGTTTATTTTCAAAGAATAAGTTGAATGACACCTTTAACAATAAACCTTTTTTAGACCTTGCAGTGTGTTTTTGTTTCAACTACAAACAGTTCGAGTGTACAATATTTCGCGTCTGTGACACGCTAAAAAATCTGGATTAACTAACCAGCTATATATAATTAATAAGTAAGAGGACTACATGCTTATCCAATTTGGAAATAGTTGAATTCAAAAACTCCTCTGACAGCCAATTTGGACTCGGCCTACGGCCTCGTCCAATTTTGGCTGTCCTCGGAATCTTTTTCATCCACCTATTTCCAAATTGGACAGCATGTAGTCCTATTACATAAATTAATTCGTATAGTCTCTCCAAACACTCCGTCGGAGAGACTATGGAGATAATTGGACATCCCCAAAACATAATCTTATGCAACACACGATAGTCCTCGGTTGCAGCCAATTTACACGTTGCATTCCTCTGTCTAAAGAAAAGGCCAAAATAAAACAAGAGTCAGGCCGGATTTTTTGTGTTTCGAAAAAGATTTGTGTTTGACAGGTTTACTTTACAAGTAAATCTTGGCGACAAATCTGGTGGTGTGTAAACCAGTCTTTCAAATATATACTTTTTAACAGTGCTTTTATGCACAAGGTCTGAGGAAAACAGTACTATGCCCGTTTGCCTTATCACACAGACCTTGAACAGAATTTGTTTTTCCTTGCGCTATTTAAACCTATAATTCTGCAGTTTTTCACAGATTTAGAAGACAAATTGCGCTCAGTCACAGCGCTGTCAAAAAGCTTTTAAGTAGCAGGCTGGTAATGAATAGTAAACGGTTTTGTAACTCGCACCAAAGGCTCAAGTTCTTGAGAGCAGAGGGACATTTTGAAATTTAGAGTCTCGGAAAGGGCATTTTCATGGGTTTTCAAGGGGTATTATCCACCGCAGGCTCCTAGTTTTTTCGTCAGAATACACGCAAGACTTTGAACAACGCCGTCGAAATGTCCCAGGCATTCCAAGACATCGCACGGTTCGAACGTTTCACAGAGCTAAACCTGTTTGAATATGCGTTCAATGCATGCTGTCGATGGTGCTTGTTTTTTGTTAGCAGTTATGGTAGAAGAAGATCAAAGTAGCCGGCTAAGGATGGCTAAGTAGCCGGTGGTTATGGCCGGCTAACGGCCCTTTTTCACAGCCCTGACTCAATATCCGGGACGATCGAAGCACGCGCTTCCTCTGAACAAAAAATTATAGAATTGGTCAACCACATTATAAAACTATTTCATGAAGAGAATTTTCCATAACACCGGGACTGTTTAGTAGAAAAAATCTGCTCCTATGTCATATGCAGGTTAATAATTATGGGCATTTAGTGAAAACGATCAAAAAATCCCCCAAATCACCTATATATTGTAGGGGGTTTACGAGCAACTTGCTCGCTGAGCGTAGAGGTACCAGGTATCTGAGTTTACATCTTGTTGTTCTTTACTCTTTACAGCAGCTCATATGTAACAAACCTCAACTACTCTCCACTAATTCTACAAGCTAACACATCGAATTAAATAACGAAATTGTGGACGTGTTTGGGTTAGCTGACCATGAGACCCTTCCATTGCATATCCTGTCGCTGAACTTGTGAACGATAGAATAGTCTACACTGTCGCAATTAACAAGTACTAAAGAGCCAATTGAATCCTAACCCTATCCCTAGCGGTAAAACTGCTCGCTAGGACCAAGCATACAAAACAGGAACTTCAGTGGAGGCAAAACTCAAGGTCAGCTATAATCCCCGAACATGCTTACTTCAAAGAACTACAATAAGTTTAACAAATCCTTTCGATAGACGATACTTCTGAAAACTCAGGAACTAACTGTGTGGCCTATACATTGAATTTCCTTGGACTATGAACTGTTTATTAAGAAACTAGCACGTGCTACAAAATAATCATTCGGATAGAAAAACCTTAAAAATACCAAAACTCCAAAACAGAACTAACAGCAACTACTTCATAACACTCCTCCCTCCTTAGAAGAAGCATCGTCCTCGATGCAATTGGACGTATATGAATGAAAAAGTAAGGAACAAATGTAACTAGCGGAAGAACACTAAGGAAAATTTGAAAAAGTACTGAGAAAATAATGCGCAATATAAAAACGACTATAAAACTACCATTAATATTAATCAAGAGTTCAACGTTAAATGTCAAAAGTAGATGAAAGTTCTTGAATCCTGAGTGCTTGAAAACAAATGCATGTAGGAGCAGAGGCCATTGACAGCTACAGAGGTAATACTGACTGCAGTTGATATTTGCTTGAATCTTGAGAAACCAGCTTACGATGATGCTCTGGTGGTTCTCCAGAGCACAAACCTTGCACTTTCTTATTATGAAGGAGAAACTGTATTGATCACTGAGGAGGCAGACTGGAAAAGACGTGTTTTCCTGTGTCTGTGCAAGAAATTTATGGATGACAAGCAGTTACACATTGTGAAGGAATTGCTCTCTCAAGTTGGGAACATTGATGTGTTTGCTAGAGATGTGGTAAACGTCCTTTACAATGAATTAGTTGTCGCCTTGACCAACAATAATGAACCATATGTCACTACAGAAATTGTTAAAATAATGGATGCAAATTCAATTTTAGTAGATTCAGAAACAACAAGAGCTCTTGTGAGGGGTTTTGGAGCAGCAGGATTTGGAGCACAAGCAAGGCAACACTTCTCGAATGGTTGCGATGCGGGTGTTTATCCAGACTCCTTCAAAATAGATGATCCATGGACAGTGGTCATTGGAACTAGTTTTTCGGCAGTTGAAGACAGCCAGCGTTTTAAATTCACGTGTGTTTTGACTTCTCCTCTTCTCCACTTATGCAGTTCCACTTCACGGGAGTATATTAATGAAGATTCGAAGAACCATTGAATAAATGATGAATTACCATTGCAAACAAGTTAACAAGATAGCTACAGAAAAGGACTACAGCTATCTAACCACCTAACACGTACTGCTCAACAAAATAACATAATACCCATCTCAAACAAAAACTAACGATCAAAATCAAAAATCTTCATTTACACTCGACATTATTTAGCTTGACGGGCCGTATATAAACAGCAGCACTTAAAAAGTACGGACATAATAATCTTAGCTGAGGCATGCACCGAAGAAATAAACGTTTCTTGAGAATTAACAACATCATCATCTAACTGACCATCCTTAAAAGGCAAAGGATCAGACTCAGGGAAAAAACTCAGCGTTCCATTTTCAAAATCAACTGTGAAACAAAATTTTTGTAGAAGATCTCTACCAAGAATTACGTCACAGGTCAAATCCTCAATCACGTGCGCCTCGAAAGGAAAAGCATGAAAATCAATAACAAATTCCACCAACAACTTCCCAATTGTAGTCAGTTGACACCCATTTACTGAAGTCACACATTCTGAACTACACTTGTCCAGACTCGGATAAGCGTGACTCAAACACTCACGCCACACTTTTGCGCTGACTGCCGTGACAGCGGCCCCAGAATCTATCAAACAATAAAAATTGTGACCAGTAGTTATAGAAATGGTTATCCTGGCTCAGTCTTCGAATTCCCAGAATTGTATTAAAAAAACTAATGTAATCCCAGAATATGCAAGGGATTATAAAAATGAATATCTTTTTATAAGAGGGATTAATAAGGAATTGGATAATTTTACAAATCAATATCTTTCAGATTGTAGTGAACTTTTTGTTTCTGGTTATTCTGATAGAATTAAGCATTTTATAAGAAAATTTTTAAAAGCTCAAGAACTTAATTATCTTAAGGATACCAGTCGTTTTATTTTTAAAGAGTGTGATGTCGAAAATATAATATTTTTATTTGATAGAATGTATTTTGATTTTGAAGAAGATGATGAATTTGTTGATGGTCATCCTGATGATTATCAAGGATATAGAGATTTTTATGAGTTGTTTTGTAAATTTTACGATAAAATAAATATTGATTAATTGAAACTTAAAGTCTTATTATCTAATAATAAAGATAATAAGACTATCATGTCTAACCAATCAGTTGATGGTTTTCAGGGTTCTCAACCCTTTATAACAGATAAGCAATTTCAGAATTTATCTTTGGATGAAATAAAACATTTAATAGAAGAAGAAAAAGAAGGACTTAAGAAAGATTATAAAGAATTAGGTGAAAGAAGAAAATTAATTAAACAATGTAAAAAATTAAAAGAAGCTAGAGAAAAAGTACGAAAAGGAATTGATATAAAAAAAACCTAAAAAATCCAAACCTGAAGGTGTTCATAAAATAAAATCATTTGATGAGTATTTTCAGGAATGTATAGAGAATAAAGAATTTCCTGCAGATACTCCTCCCTATTTTCGTGAAGCTCTTGAGAGGGCTATTAAGGAATATGATTTAGGATTTGTAAAAGAAAAATCAGCTTTTGAAGACTTTGCTGTTAAATATATTTTTGAAGGAGATCCTAGTCTAACTCCAATTGAATATTTTAATAAAGTTTATTCATCTTTAGAATATTTTTTTACTAATCATCGAAATATTAAATTTAGTATGGTATTGGTTTGTTTAATGGAACAACAAATACTTAGTAAAGATAAGGGGGTTGTTGGATTAAATGAAAGTAAAGCTTACTTTATCTCAGGAACACATAATAATCTTGAATCAAAAAATGTAAATAAATTAATTGATAAATGTGTTAAGAAAATTATTAAAGATTTAGAAATATATCAAAAAAATGGAAGTGGATGGTATTTTAAAGAAGTGGTTCAACTTGAAATTCATATTGTTGAGTATAATCCAACGAAGGGGTCATCTTACATTCCTCTTCCAGATTGGATATCAAACAAAAAAGCAATAGTTAATATTAAAAACAAAGATGAGAAATGCTTTCTTTGGTGTATACTTAGATATCTTCATCCAAGAGAGGATAATGGTACACGATTAACAGATTTAAAGAAGTATGAGAATTCTCTTAACACCAAAGGAATTAGTTTTCCTATGAAATTAAGAGATATTTCCAAATTTGAAAAACTTAATCCATCTCTTCCAGGAATCAATGTTTTTTCAGTTAATAATAATATTTTTTATCCTTTGAGAATGGCAGAGAGAGATTGTTTAAATACTATTGATTGATTTGTTTCTATATGAAGAAGATGGTGTTTCACATTACTCACTAATTAAAAATTTTAATCGTTTGATTAAGTCTCAAAAAACTAAAAGTAAGAATGGAGAAATATTTATTTGTAAAAAGTGTTTTACGCATTACACTAAAGAAGAATTATTACAAAAACATATCTTATATTGTTCAAATAATGAAACAGTTTCTGTGAAAATGCCTCCACAAAACACAATGTTAGGTTTTAAAAATTACCACAAACAACTTCCAATCCCTTTTGTAGTTTACGCAGATTTTGAATGTTTTACTAAACCAATGCATACTTGCAGTCCTAATCCAAAAGAATCGTATAATTACAACTACCAAAAGCATGAACCATCAGGATTTTGTTTTTACATTAAAGGAATAGACCCTAATATATCATTTAAACCAATTACTTACACAAAAACTAATAGTGATGATAATGTAGCTGAGATATTTGTAACCAATAAGTTATATAATGATTTTTATCGTCGACCAATACCTCTTCGTTTAACAAGACAAGAACAAAAAACCTTTGATGAAGCAGAAACTTGCCATATTTGTAAGAGAGAATTATTAGACGATAAAGTTAGAGATCATTGTCATTTTACTGGAAAGTATCGTGGAGCTGCACATAACAGTTGTAATCTACAGTGTCGAAAACCAATGATTCTTCCAGTTATATTTCACAATCTTCAAGGGTATGATGCTCATTTGTTTATAAAACAACTTGCTTGTTTACCAGGTGCGTTTAACTGTATTCCATCTACGGAAGAAAAGTATATCTCCTTTTCCAAAAAGAATAAGGTTGATGAGTACAAGTCTAGAAAAACTGGAGATACTATACCATTATATTTTGAAATACGATTCATAGATTCATTCAAGTTTCTTCAAACAAGTCTTGCCAATCTTGTTTCAAATCTACAACCAGATGATTTTAATAATACAAAAGAAGTATTTAGTGAAAATGTAGCCCTACTAACTCGTAAGGGAGTTTATCCATATGACTATGTTTCATCACTCGAAAAACTATCCGAAACACAACTTCCACCAAAAGACGAATTCTATTCAAAACTAAATGATGAAGACATAACTGATGATGATTACCAACACGCTATTAATGTCTGGAATACTTTTAAATGTAAAACAATTAGAGATTATCACAATCTTTACCTAAAGTCTGATGTTCTACTATTATCAGATGTATTTGAAAACTTTAGGAAAACTTGTCTCAAACATTACAACCTAGATCCAGCTCATTATTACACATCTCCTGGATTAGCTTGGGATGCATGTCTTAAAGAAACAGGTCAGGAATTACAATTACTACATGATTATGATATGTTAATGATGTTTGAAAAAGGAATTCGTGGTGGAATATCTCACATATCAAAAAGATATGCAGAAGCAAATAACAAATACATGAAAAATTATAATCCTGATAAGGAGACTAGTTATATTCAATATCTTGATGCAAACAATCTTTACGGTTGGGCAATGTCTCAACAACTTCCAACACATGGATTCAGTTGGATGAAAAATTTAACAAAAAAAAGTAATGGATATCTTGGATAAAGCAAATCACAGTATGTCAAATCGTGGGAGAAAAGGATATATATTTGAAGTTGATTTGGAATATCCTTCCAGCCTATGGGAAACACATAATGACTATCCACTTGCACCTGAGAAGATGAATGTTAATGGTGTTGAAAAACTAATTTGTCATTTTAAACCAAGAAAGAACTATGTTGTACACTATCGAAATTTGAGGCAATATCTTGAGATGGGAATGAGAATAACTGCTGTTCACAGAGGAATATCATTCTATCAGAGTTCTTGGATGTAGCCTTACATAAGAAAAAATACAGAACTTCGAAAAACATCAGCCAACAGTTTTGAGAAAGACTTTTTCAAACTAATGAATAATTCTGTATTTGGAAAAACAATAGAAAACATAAGAAAAAGACAAAATATATTTATTATTGATGATCTTAAAAAAGCTGTAAAATTAACAAGTCGTCCTAACTTTGATAGAGCAACAATATTTGATAAAAATCTTATTGCGATTCATATGAAAAAAACAGAAGTGTATTTTAACAAACCAGTATATGTTGGACAAGCAATTCTTGATCTATCAAAAACATTAATGTTTGATTTTCATTACAACTATATTCAAAAGAAATATAAAGACAAAGCTGAGTTATTGTTTACAGATACGGACTCGTTGATGTATCAGATTAAAACAGATGATTTTTACAAAGATATATCCTATGACATACTAGCCAAGTTTGACACCTCTGATTATCCTCCCAGTCATCCATCTAGTATCCCAACAGGAGTTAACAAAAAAGTAATAGGAATGTTTAAAGATGAAGTAGCAGGAAAACAAATTACTTGTTTTGTTGGATTGCGACCCAAACTTTACAGTTTTAGAATAGAAGAAGATAAAGAGGTAAGAAAGTGTAAAGGAATAAAGAAAAATGTTGTAAAAAAGACAATGGATTTTGATGATTATGTTGATTGTTTATTTTTAGGTAAAAAGCAAATGAGATCGATGAAGATTATAAGAAGTGAAAAACATGATATATATTTAAAAGAAGTTAACAAAATAGCTCTTAGTAATGAAGACGATAAACGCGAACTGATGTTTAATAAGATAAAAACCATCGCTTTAAGATAATAAGATATTAATAATAAATGAGTTATACAGAAGAAGAAATAGAAAAATATTTAGAAATATTAAGAAGTTATAACACCCAACCAGAAGAGAAAGAAAATAAAAAAGTTAGATGTAAGAATTGTCAAAGCGATAATTTTTCTATTGAATCAGGTTATAATATTTGCGATTCTTGCGGTTTAACAAATGGTCATGTTCTTGGTTATTTTGACTTGAAAGAGTACGATCGATTTCATTTTCGAAAGAAGAGTATTTATCAGAGAAAGTATCACTATGAGAAAAAGGTTGATCAAGTTTCAAAAAGAATAAATCTATCTGATGATGAAAAGTGTGAATTGTATAATAAACTAATGAATATAGATAACCACGTAATGGAAATATTAAACAAACAATTTTCTCGTAAGAGAATGATAAGCATTTTTTATCTAATCAAAAAACTTTTGGAAGAAATGGGTTGTGAAAAGAGCAGACTAGTTTATTTAAAGATTTCCAACCAAACTATGGAGAATTATGAAAAGTGGTGGGATAGTTACAAATCACTCCTTTGTGAAAGCACCAGTAAATAATTCCAGTTAGATAACCAAGTACTTCGCATTCTTTAAAAGGTGTGTTGAAGGTATAAACACATCCTCTACCAATCCTATACTGTTTCCAGAAAGCTTTGAAAGCGAGACTGAATATTAAATGATTGGTAATGATATTTGAATCTGAATTTAGGTAATGTCTTGCTTCTGTCAGTCTGTAAATAATTTGGTCTATGTTTAATTTTTGTGAAAAATACTTTGCGTAGAGAAACTGGTAAACAAGACACGCTTTAATGAAGTTATCTGGATAAAATTGTGTTTTATAAGTTGGAAAGTAGAAATTCACATATGCTACAATTGTTTTAATCGTTTCTATATTATGTATATATAGAAATGAGATTTCCCGTCAAAACGACGGGTTAATAAAATAAGGTTTAAAGAAATAAAATTATAAATAAAAATGATTGAGAAATCTTTTATTAATTCACAATTAGGAATAAAATTTAACTCTTACATTGATGGAAAATGTAGAGTTTGGTTTAAAGCAAAAGAGGTAGCCCAAATATTAGGATACAAAAATACAGAACATGCTATAAAGAGACATGTAAGTGAAAATCATAAAAGAACTTTTTTGTGTTGCCCGCCTGAAACGGGCGGTCAGGTAATTAAAAAAAGCTGCCCGCCTGAAACGGGCGGTCAGGTCCAAGGCAGATGGATTATATTCATAGATGAGCCAGGTTTCTATGAATTAGTTTTTAAATCTAGATAACCATCTGCAAAAATGATTAGAGAATGGGTTTTTGCTAAAGTACTCCCATCAATTCGTAAATATGGATTTTACAAAATGATAGATAATAGAAAAAACCAAAGAGTAATATTTGATGGCGTAAAATTCTATAAACATCCTGTGTTTACTAATTACGCTGCAAGTAAAAATGGTAAAATATTAAGTTTAAAATCTGAAAAAATTTTAAAGATGAGTAAAAATGATTGTGGTTATTTATTTTTTTCAACATATGAAAAAAAACTTGAAAAAATATTATCTTACTCTCAACATAGGTTTGAATTTGAGGTTTTCAAAGGACCAATTCCGAGATGTTTTGAAGTTGACCACCAGAACAATATAAGGAATGACAACAGAATAAAAAACTTGCAACTACTTACTCATAAACAAAATGTTGAAAAAAGTAAAAATAGAGAAATAATTTCTAAAAATATAGAAAATGGAAAAGAAAAAAGATTTAACTCTATTAAAGCAGCTTCGATTGAATTAGATATTAGTGCTGGTAATATTTCGAATATTTGTTGTAAAAGAAAATCTTGTAAAATAGCTACTTCAAAAAAAATGGTAATAAGTATACATTTAAATTTTTAGATTAGTTTTCAATATTATATTAATATTGAAAAAACAGCTACATCTAAAAAATACACATTCAAATATTTATATTGGTTTGTATTTTAATCTTTAAACCCTTTTTCTTGATCTTGAAAGATCTTCTAAACTATTTTTGATACTTCTATAATTTCTTGAATCTTTTAAATACTTTTCACATTTTTCACGCAATTTTTTATCAATTTCATCTTTTTTTAAAAGTCTGCTAAAAAGGCAATAAGATTCAGCCTTTGCTACAAGTAATTTAAAATTATCTCCATACATCGAATCAATTTCTTCACAGATTTCTCTTCCTTCTGCAGCTAAAGTTGATTCGTAACTGTCAAGTAATTGTTCTTCAAATTTTTCAAAATGGTCCATTTTATTACTTGCTTAGATTAAATTTTGTATTATACCTACTAGCAAATCTATCTGCTATAGGAGACTGATCAATTATCATTTCATCTGTTAGTTTCATGCGATCAACAAAATCTTGTTTATTCCACTCATCACCCCAAAGAGCTGCACGGAGTTCAACGAGTACTTTTTCATAAGTTGTGAATGCAATCCTTGACATTTCAATTTTTCTCTTATAATTTTTTTTCTTTCCAATTCCCGCCACAACAACTCCAGCACCATTTACAACTCCTAGAACAACGGGGTTTAGTGTTACACCACCAGTAATAGTTCCTATTGCAACCAAGCATATTCCAGAAATTGTAAACACCTCATCAAGAAATTTGTAACTCTTATAACATTTTTTAAAACACCAGTATTTCTTATGATGATGTTTGTAAAAGTCTTTGAGAGTTGTGACGTCTGATTCTGACAGAGATTTGTCAATGTGATTAAATTCAAAGATATCCTTCATTTATAATTATAATATATAACTTCCACTTAACTTTTCTTGAAGCATTACTTTGTGAAATTGCTCAGAGTCGGTGTCGTAAAAGTTTGGAGAGTACATAAATCTAATTAACACTCCATCTTCAGTTGTAAACTTCCAACGTTGATTAGCATTGTATTGAACAGCTGGTATAGTTAATGTTGAGCTGTAGTTACTTATTGAAGCTTTTGTAACATTTGCACTAAAATTTTCTGCCAACCATAAAACAATTATTTTTGCATTAAAACTACCTGGCATGGTAAAATTTTGAGTTGTTTTATTAACAGTTAAAGTTACTTTATTGTTTGATTTATCATAACTTAATTTTACTAAAATATTATTGTTTGTTGATAAATATTTAGTTAGGGTAAAACTCCTATTTCTCCAATGACTAAAAACAATACATAAAGTATCTACCGAAGAATGTGAAGGAGAAAAAGTAACATCATAACCATTAACATGTAATCCTCTATATTCTATTTCACTTAGGTCTTTATTAGGTGGTAGCGTAATATTAGGTTTTAAAGAATTAATAATAACTCCAGATGAGCCTATATTTATTCCGTAACTATCCGCATTAGCAAAGTCATAGAATTCACTAAAATATTTTTCATACAATTTTTTTTTTTTTTTAGTAAAGGAATTAACTCTTTTACCGATTTAATTGTTGCAACAACATCATCACTGATTTGGTCAAGACTGATATGTGCCATTTTTTTTCGATTTACGATGAGGGGAACATTGAGCATCACGTATCCTGAGTGGATATCAAATGCGGTGTGATAGTCGTAAACTTTATCTGGGTCGATATTGCTAACTGTACCCACAATACCATAAGCAATCATATAAACTCCTAAAAACTGTCTCGGATACACAGCCAGGTCAGTTCCATCCTGAGGAATATTAACCAAAATGTGAAGAAAGAACTTATTACCAGATGACAACTTCCGGAAATTAACTATTAATCTATGGTAATACATAAATTTTGGTTGATTTTTTGAATCAAGATAACTATGGGATAGTTTCCTTACACTAACATTTCCAATTGATAATCCTGTTGAAGTTCCTTTGTCTCGCTTATTTGAGACTTATTCCAAAGTTTATAATCAGTGTTGAGTATTTCCAGACATAGTGTGTAATCAGTATTTGCAGTTAACCTGTAAAAGTTGATTCCCATCTTATACTTATATCCACCTTGGGAATTTTTGATTATTCCTAGGAAAATTACTTTATGGTTATAGTCATGAAAATTACCTTTATAAGGATATAAGTCTTCTATTTTTCTTATAAAGAAACTAACTCCTCCATCTATTTCATCAGTCCATTGAGCCGCACTTGACATGAGATAACTAAACTCATCTTTATAATGACTTGGTTGAACTGCAGTTTTGTGAACTAGTTTTTCAGTGTAATCTTTGTTTACCGCATCACTATTTTGGAGTGGTTTACCAATATTTATTATTTTATTACCACCAGCATTAAGTTCTCCAGTCATAGCGACGGAACCATCTTTTTTCAAATAATCACTCAAATCTGGACTTCCAGCATTATCATCAACATACTTTTTTGTTGCAGCATCTGTATTTGATGTTGGAGTAGCAAGACCAACTATTTTATTACCACCAAGATTAAGGTTACCAGTCATAGCGACGGAACCATCTTTTTCCAAGCAATCACTTAAATCTGGGGTAACTATGTTATCATCCACATACTTTTTGGTTGCAGCATCTGTGTTTGATGTTGGAGTTGCGATACCATTTATTTTTTTGTTTCCAAGATTTAGGTTACTAGTCATTGTTACACTTCCGTCCTTTTTTATAAAAGAACTAGTATCAGGTATCGAGTCATCTACATACTTTTTGGTTGCGCCGTCTGTGGGGTCTGTTGGTGGTTTTAAATGAATTATACTTTTATTATCCATGTTTAGATTATTAGTCATTTTATTTGTTCCAGCAACGTGGAGATACTTCAAATCTGTGAAAGCTAATGGTGTTGGTTGTTTGGGTCCCCCTGGAGCTGGCAGATTTAATATTTGATTATTGTCCATATTAAGATTTCCTTTCATTGGGTAAGATCCATCTCTGTCAAGAAATGTGTTGTCTACGTAATATTTTGTTGCTGGATCTTTAGAATCCTGTGGT